CATCTCATTCTCGCGGTTCTCGTCGTTCTCATCGAAAGTGATGTCGAAGTCGTTCTCCATTTTCGAGATATTCATCTCAGAGTCCGAGTTATCGCAGAAGATCTCGAAATCCGATTTGTGTCCCAAAGACACTTTCGTGGCCTCATCCGACCTCTTGAGACCGGCGTTGGAAGCATTGGAAGCGTTGACGGAAGTGTTCGTGTGGTTGGACTCGTTTGGCCACTGTTTCCGTTGCAATGCCGACGATTTGTGGCTCTTCTGGTGGAGCGAAGTGTTGGCCACAATTGGGCCCAAAACTCGTCTCTCATTATTGATCACCAATTTGTTGACCACTTTGTGATTATTGGGAACCAAAGGCTTGTTTCCATTCATTTGAATGAAGTTCTCGTCAATGATTTGGTCCATTGTCTGCAACAGAGGTAATGATTACTAGATTTGATTCAATTGATAAAATTGATTGCAATTTAAGTGTCATTTAAATGTTAACGGTTTGTAATTACATTGAAATGCTTTATGTATTGATTGATTTATAAATGGGTTGAAAGGGATTTAAATAAAATAATAAATAGTGAAATAAAAGCGTATAAAATGTGAACAATAAAAGGTGTGATTGAGGGCTGATTCACATGAAAATCACTGCAAATAGCAGTGAATTTAAAGGGAAACGAGTGGACAGTGACTGCACTACAGGTATAACTACATATAAAGTCATTGATTGCCAATCGACTCAATGGTTCACTTCATGATACATTCAATACATTGAGTCCATTGTCTTACGAATGACTTTAAATTCAAATCTATTGATATATTTTTGACAAAAAGTGTTTTGAACGCTGGATGGGAGGCAGCGATTGGACGGTGAGGTGAGGCACAGGCGCTGCGCATTGGTTGCGACGCAGAGACCACTCCTCGCTATCACTCAATCAGCTGTTCATCTGTTGCGATGAGATTTGAGTCGAGATTTGAATCAAATGCTAACTAAGAGATGAAAGAGTAAAATGTAATCTAATGTCAAAAGAATTGGCGACTAAATGTAGTAAAAGAAGTTATCCTCAAATAAATGACAAATTCTTATGAATCCCTTTACAGTCATTCTTAAAATATGAGTCGATGGCAACCAACACATCCGTTGCTATGGATCTCATGGATCTGTTCTGGAGAATGGATTTCATCTGACATCAGAGCAAAACTCATGATATGTTTTGTATCACTTTTGAACACTACTATTAAATTAATTTAATATTCACCACAAATAAAATCAAAGAATATTCTGTTCGCCCAATCATTGCCCTCTGTTTTTGCACAATAATCGCACGAATTTATCATTTCTTAATTATCGCCCTAATATTCATGTGTCTATTCAATGCATTATCTTTTGCTTCAATTATATTTTAATATAATAATATATATCTTTATAATATTATAATAGTGTTAGTTTTACTCTTAAACATCGTAAACAGTTTTTTCAACGAAATCACTGTTTTTTTTAACATTTGGAAAAGTTTCTATAATTACTATTAATAGTGGACACGATTTGTCACTTAGATTGAGATAAAAATCATAATTTACTTGATTTACACTTAAATAATCAGATTGATAATCAATAAAAGTGTTTAATGAGACAAACACTTCAGCTTGAAATAAAATAATTGTGTATTATTTTGATTGAATGCTTAAATAGCGATATTGTACTGTAGTAAATGCTATATTAATGTTTGAATGTTTGTATAGTTTTTTGTTATATAATAGGAGGCATAGGAGTGGATAGTACTGTATATAGGAATTGAATAATTCATACCAATTAAGGCCACATTAAGTATGAGCGCAGTTGTCCTCACAATCATTTTGATGATTAAAATGAGTATTAAATGAATAATTTGATGATTATATTAAGCAAATACACAATGAATGAATAGTGGTTGTAGTCGTTGTACTGCCATTTGGCTCAGTTAAGTGTTAAGAAATCGTTTAAGAATCGGGTTGTGAGTTATTGACTGAGTGATAACTAACTTAACGTAGTGTTAACGGCTGGTTGAGTACGGTAGAGAGTAGGGTAGGGTAGGAGGAGAGGAGACCTCTTCAAACATCCCTTTCCTCCTATCCTCCCAATCATCCAATAATTGTCGCCCAATATTATACATCCACTCAATACTCTAATATCTATTCATTTTTTATTAATTTATATTACTCATTTATATTTTTTAAATTACTATATTATTATAGCATTCCTTATAACATCATTTATCCATTCATTTCATTGTTCTAAAAACTTATCATGCTTCATTTTTTACAATATAAATAAAAGAATCATTAAATGTGTTCAAGCATAGATATTATAAATGTTATTAATTTTATAAAATAATTCATAATTATTTGAATAGTAAAATTTCAGCAAACTTTGTGTACTGTATCACTAAATCTGATCCCAAATTGTGTCTCATTTTCTAATCGTTACAATTCGTGAACTTTAGTGAAGGCGACTGTTTCCCCAGTTATGTCACTGGTGAGGAAATAACATGGCGTCAAACACTTGTCTGGACAACACATCTACACCAGGTGAACAATACTGAAAGTAACTTACTCACTTCTCAATTAGCCAAAAATTAAATCTATTGATATCTGCTGTCATGTCATGTCAAGCACTTCCCGATGGATGGACTCGCGAAGAGATCATTAGACGCAATGGTCTGTCGGCCGGAAAGATCGATGTCTTCTACTATAGGTATGTCATGTGATGTTTGTGTGAATTGTATGGCAATTGTATGACAATTACCTAACGATGTCTTGTTGTGGCCAATGGTGTGATAGTCCGACGGGTCGTAAGTTCCGGACGAAGCCTCAGTTGTCGCGATATTTGGGCGATTCGGTCGACTTAACCACTTTTGACTACAGAACCGGAAGAATAAACTCATCACTCATGAGGAAAAGCAAACGATCGAAAGGAGGTCTCATGGCTTACGACTACACGAAGAATATGCGCAACGACTCGTCGCTGATCCCACCCATCAGGCAGACGGCGTCCATCTTCAAGCAACCGGTGACTGTGATTAAGTCACAGCCGGACAGTCGTGTCAAAGGAGACCTCAAACACGGCAACCAAAGCGAGAAACCGAAGCAATTGTTTTGGGAGAAACGTCTCGAAAGACTCGATGCCTCTAATGTAGAGCTCGAAGAACTCGAGAACTTTGATCTGCCCGTCAATATGAGACCCGTTGGCCCGCATATGAGCAAAGATACTCTCCTCAGGAGTATTGCCACCGCTCTCCACATTCACACACAACCAATCACTGGACAGATGAGCGCTAAAGACAATCTCGAGAGAGAACCGGCTGTTTATCTCAATCCCGATCAGCCATTGATTCACACAATGATTATATCCGACGATGACATCAAGAAACAAGAGCTTAGAGTTCAAAGCGTTCGCCAGAAACTTGAAAAGGCTTTAAATGAATGCGAGAATTGAGCTGAAGTTTGAATTGTCTGCTCATTAGATTGAGTTTAGTATCAATATATCATACTTTCTATCCTCTAATCAATCATTTCGTAAATAATTTAAAATCATTTTACCGTAACTTTTATTTTGTGAGTTTTTATATATGCTGTAGTTTTTACTTAAGGTTAAGGCGAATACAGTACTCAATTATAAACAGTTATCGTATGGTACTGTATCATATTTATACGGTATACTGTAATCATTATTATTGGTGTCTTTTATACTTATCTTATATTTATGATGACAAATAAACACCTTATGAATAATGAAATAGAAATTAATACAAATTTTCTTTAATAAATATGTTTTATTCCCTTTAATTACAGATATTTACGGTAATATTTGTTTATATTTTCTCTGTTTAAATAAAAAATATATTAATTGGAATTCATGTGAAACTCCATCTGAATATTGAATACCATTTCATTTCAGTCGCTGTCAGATATACCGTATCCACAAAGTCATCAATACATGTGATATGCATTCAATTCTTGGTGTTATAGTTTGCAATTCTCTGGTTTAGAGGATTATCCGGCGATTTCATCCAATCTTTTTTGAGAATCTGTTTCAGTTGAGAGAGTCTTAGGTTCGGGTTTTCGCTCTTAATTCGGTCCAAATTTTGCGCTTCAAATGCAGTGTAGGCCGCCTTCAGTCGCTTCTCCGGATGTCTGTCCACTTCCGGTTCGTTTGTACTAAACATATCAAAATCCAATCAATCAATCAAACAGTCAAATGAGTGACAAATATATCGCAAATGTCATATCGATTGTCATTACAGTCATATGAATCTCATTTCAAAACATCAATATTGTCTCAAATGTGTGACCAATTGGTCATCACTTAAATCATGTGCCAAATGGTGACCAATACCTGAGTAGAGCGATGGCGTCCTCAACACTTCTGGCGCCGTTGTCTTCGGCTACTAATCGGTTCACATTCTCTTCGATCGGCAGCTCTTCCATTGTCTCCACTTTGTTGGTGTCCTTCTGTTTGCTCTGATTCTGGCGTTCAATGGTTTCGTTGATCTGAAAGCGACTCACTTTCGCGGCCTTCTCTTCAGCCGCCTTCTTGCTCTTCAGTGAACTCATCTCCTGTTCATAAGCGGCTCTGTTCTCAGCCTTCCTGTCCATCACTTCCTGCTTCTTCTTCTCCTTGTCCTCCTTCCGGCTCTGTTTGCGGACCACATGCTTGTCGTCGTCCTTCCAGAGCGCGTCCTCTTTGAGTCTCTCCGCGGACTCAATCTTCGCCTGTTTTACGGCATCCTTTCGGGCTGTCGGCAGACATGCGTTCAGACAATGGCCACAATCACTGGCATATGAGACCTACCTTTCGCTTCAACGGATTTGGTGTTTGTGCCCAACTTTTTAGGCATTTCCGCAAACAAACAAACACTCAATCAATCGATTTGTTGACGAAATGCAAACCAATAGAGCTGAGTTTAGAGTAGCGTTGTCTACTTGTCGACTAACTCACTATCGCTCCTCACCAGAGACGCAGCGTTGGTTACGCGTCGCGGACACGGAGTGGAGTGGCAGGTTAGCGACGGAGGGTAGGGGCGTTCAAAACATTTTTTGTCATAAATATATCAATAGATTTGAATTTAAAGTCATTTATAAGACAATGGACTCAATGTATTGAATGCATCATCGAGTGAACCATTGAGTCGATTGGCAATCAATCAATTTCTATGCAGTTATACCTGTAGTGCAGTCACTGTCCACTCGTTTCCCTTTAAATTCAGTGCTATTTCCAGTGATTTTCATGTGAATCAGCCCTCAATCACACCTTTTATTGTTAACATTTTATGCGCTTTTATTTCACTATTTATTATTTTATTTAAATCCCTTTCAACTCATTTATAAATCAATCAATACATAAAGCATTTCAATGTAATTACAAACCGTTAACATTTAAATAACACTTAAATTGCAATCAGATATTCAATTCAATCAAATCTAGTAATCATTACCTCTGTTGCAGACAATGGACCAAATCATTGACGAGAATTTCATTCAAATGAATGGAAACAAGCCTTTGGTTCCCAATAATCACAAAGTGCTCAACAAATTGGTGATCAATAACGAGAGACGAGTTTTGGGCCCAATTGTGGCCAACACTTCGCTCCACCAGAAGAGCCACAAATCAAAGGCATTGCAACGGAAACAGTGGCCAAACGAGTCCAACCACACCAACACTTCCGTCAACGCTTCCAATGCTTCCAACGCCGGTCTCAAGAGGTCGGATGAGGCCACGAAAGTGTCTAAATCTGAAAACCCTGTGTTTAGCCTAAAGCTCTAGAAGACGCTATTGAGCCTGAGACTCTACTTATAGAGCTTTTACCTCTTGCTGAAGCTGTAGTGAAAGCTACTCTTGCTGCTCTTGGCGCTCTTACTCTACGATTCGTGCGAACAGACGGATAACCTATTGTCTGAAAGAACTGAAAACTCTTTAGCTATAGAGGAGGCAATCATTGATGGCTTTAGTGATGCGGACATCAAATGCGATGAAACGATAGACATCGAGAGCGAAGAGGAAGAGCTCGAAGACGTGTCCGTTTCGGAGCAGACGTCAGAAGTGTTGCGTTCTTTCGATTTGACGGCTCTCTCGAGATGTCAGGAATACTCGATTGAAATCCATAGATATCTCATGTTCTATGAGAGGAAGCAAATGGCAGATCCGTACTATATCTCGAAACAGCCGGAGATTAACGCTAAGATGAGAAGCATTCTTATCGATTGGTTGGTCGAAGTGACCGAAGAGTACAAACTGCTGGACCAGACGCTCTTCTTGGCCGTCAATTACATCGACAGGTGTGACACGAACTCATCCATCACTCCATCACTTATTGATATATCTAATGACTTAATCGCTTTGTAATTAGGTTTCTGTCTTTGATGTCTATCTCGAGACAAAGCTTTCAATTATTAGGTATACATTGAAATGAAAATTAAATGATTTCCAAAGAAATTAATCGATGAATGAATGATAGGAACGGCCGCTCTTTTCATTGCTTCCAAATATGAAGAGATATATCCGCCAGAGTTGAGTGAATTCGTGTATATCACTGATGACTCGTACACTAAGCAACAGATACTTAATATGGAAAAACTCATTCTTAAGGTATGATTCCATCACTTTGAATAAGTCTTATTATAACACTATATCTTACGAAAGGCTCTGGAGTTTGACGTGTCGGCGCCCACTATTTATTATTTCATTGACAAGTTCTCGACTGATCTGCAACTGGAGTCCATCATTAAACACTTGGCAAAGGTTTGAATCAGTCATTCATTGATCTCATTGAGTGATCTCATAAGACAAATGATTGTTTGAATGTTTAGTATTTGTCTCACTTAACACTTCTGGAGAGCGAGCCATTCCTGCGCTACTATCCGAGTGAGATCGCCATCTGCTCTATCATTCTTTCGGCTCAAACCTTAGGCTTTCAACTCGTGATTACTGAACATTTTCTTGAGGAATCCATGGCTTATGAGAAGGGCCTCAAGAGCGGAGACATTAAAGCCTTTTTGGCCGATCGTCAGACGTGTCTCGAATCGATTCACAGAATGCATGCCTTCGCTCACAAACACCCCCAACAGGCCATTCAAAGCAAATTCACTTCCGATAAGTAAGTCTTTACTGTTTCACGAGTTGTTCAATATTTCTAACCATTGAATAATACAACAGATTTTATCGCGTGTCCACTGTTGAGCCCATGGCTGCTGCGCCTCGTATTTAATTTGATTGCATTCAATGTCTGCTCTTTTAATCTATTCTTACAATTTAATAATCACTGCATTTATATTTTACTCAATTTTAATTAAATTACAAAATAATTTTAAAAACTTTCTTATAATAAAGTAGCTTTTATTTGGCTAATACTTAATAATTGATTCGATATTATCAATGAAATTGTTGTGCATTTACTATACAAACAAAATAAATACTTAATGTCTTGAATGAGAAGATTTCGGTTTGAATTCATTTCTATGTCTATCACTCTTGTAATCACTCTTTGTTTGATCCAATTTATGGCTGTCGTGTCTCCTCTCGTCTCTCCTCTTATCTCTTGATTTCGATTTATGTTTCCTTCTCTTCGATGGGCTATCGGAAGAGGCGGACGAAGAATCACTGGAACTGCTTCTATGTCTTCGTTTTTTATGTTTTTTCTTAATCTTAATATTAATCTCAAGGACTTGTTTGCTGTCTTCGAGTCTAGGAGTGATGAGTTCCCTCTCCTGTGGAGCACATCCCTCGTTGTGCAGCGCAAGAGTCGCCTCATCCATGTCTTCGTGCTCTTTAGGTATCTTATAGTCCATGACGTGATCCACACGAATGATGCGATTCACGAGTTTAATGCCATTCAAGTTATCGACGGCTAATACAGTACTTCTCTGGTCTTCATAACACAGGAAACAAAAGCCCTTCGATTTGCCGGTCTTCTGGTCGCGGATCAGATTCACGTTAACCACTTCGCCGTACTGTGAGAACACTGTTATCACATCTCCTTCGCTCAACTCGTAGTTCAGACCACCGATGAAGATCCAGGCGCTCGAAGAGTACATGTTATGCCACGAGTTCTTCATATCGATTCCCAACGACAGCTCTCTTTCGTTGAGTTTCGTTATGTTCCGGACATTACTGTCACCAACAGATCAGTTAACAGTCAGTCAATTGTCTTATCACTTAATGTGTCTATACTTACGTCAACGGATTCATTGTGTGATTGCTGTGGAGTCCAAACCACTTGAAGTTTAATATGATATGCACTGATGTCCAGTGTTTACGGTTATGTCACTAATTATCTAATCAATGCTTTGTTGACATTATTTCACAAGTTTATGTTGTAATGAGAGAGTCGCATACGTGACTTGCCATGCTATCTCACCTCGTCACCACTCTCCCCCGTCACTTCCCCGTCACTTCACCCTCTCTCACAGTGCATTACGCACTTGTCTACAAGACCAGGAATGACTGGAATGTCATAAATGGAGAACTGATTGACTGTTTGACTGAACGGACGAATGAGTGGATTGTCTATTGTTTACGTTCGCAGAGATGTGTTGATTGAGTGATAGGTTTGGCATTCATTGGACTCATTGGACACTCTTTGGCACAATTGATGGTGACTTCTGTGCCGCGAATCGCAAGTTATGGTCAAATCAAATCGTTTGAAATCCATTTTACGTCATTTCCTCAACGACTTCGAGAGACTTGAGTGCAGACATCGACTGAGTGATGACACCAATGATGAGTGCATCGATGAGTACCGCAAAGAGTTTCAAACACTCAAAGACCTGACGGAATCGCTGAAGACTGATCCCAACTGCGGATCAGTTGAGGGCGAGAATGACGTGAATCGACGCAAAAACAGATACAAAGATATTCTTCCGTGTAATGAGACATGAGATGTGATGATGTGTTGAATGGTATGACTGATTGTATGTCTTGATGTGTATGCAGATGATCACAGCCGTGTCATTCTGGAGGAATACCCGGGTGTCGGGCCTAGACTGATATACTTGCGGTTAATGCACTTCCCGAGCAGCCCGACACGCGCGTGAATGTAGCGGTCAGTCCCTGGCGAAGGGTTGTGAAACCAACTGAAGACCTCTTACTAAACCCTCAGGCATGTGACCGTCATTGTGATGGCCTGTAATGAGAGGGAGTCCGGCAAATACAAGTGCGAGTCCTACTGGCCTCAGGACAACGATGACCCCCAACAGTACGGCAACATCACTGGTATGTCATGTCACTCATCCGTCATGAATGTCTTGTACTCAATGCATGTGTTGTCGTAATATCAGTTCAATTAGTGAAGTGGCGTCAGGTGTGCCCCGACTTTCTGGTCCGCACTCTCAAAGTGAACGCCGACTCCATAGAGCGCACGGTCTGTCAGTTCCACTACCAGACGTGGCCCGACCACGGAGTGCCCAACTCTGTGCACCCGATCCTCGAGTTGGTGCGACTCATGCGTGACGTCCAGATTTCAGAAACCCGTCCAATACTTATCCACTGCAGCGCCGGCTGCGGGCGAACCGGAACTCTATGTTCTATTGATTACGTTTGGGCTCTTCTCAGGAATGGAAAACTTCGAGAAGGTTTGCATTGATTGTCACCGAAAGGCAACTCTTTGTCTAATCAATGTTTGTGTCCATAGATTTCAGTCTGTATTCCATAATACGAGAGATGAGGAGACAGAGGATAGCAATGGTGCAGACATTAGAGCAATACATGCTGTGCTATAAGGCTGTCGCCACACTCTTTGAACAACAGCTCAAAATGATTGATTCGCACACTTATGAGAACATCGATGGCGATGGAGAGCCTCTCATGAGGCGCCAGTTGCTCAGGGAGTCTGCCGACCAACACATAGCGATCGCTACAATCGCTCCGCAAACTGATCACTCGCTTCCTCAGACCGATAATACAAAGAGTAAACATATCCCCGAATCCATACTGCCTTCCCTTCCCAACAGTCCGTCCAGTGTTGGCGATGAAGTGCGACACGAGAGGCTTATAGGAAAGGCAACTGTCATACGGCGCCCAAGTATTGCCAAACTTAAAGCTATATTCGAAAATCAAAACGTGATCTCAACAGAGGGTCCTATAGTGAGGTCCCGTTCCACGAGTTCTTCACTGAATAGAAGTCAAAGTATCAAAGAAAGGATCAGAAACACGAAATCCATGATTGAAAGCAACGATCATGTGTTTAATGGTAACCAAAGACATGAAATGTCGATCGGTTTAGACGAGGGATTGCGCGCTAATCACTCGGACCTACAGTTCAGACAGGATTCGTGTCTCAAAGAGACTACTTATGGAGAATGCAATCCACAGATCAATGCAATGAATCGTTTAAACGAAAACTCTGCACAAATGCTGCAAACAAATCACTTCAACGGTTCAGTTATGGAATCGTTTGCCATATTAAGCGAACAAAAACTACTTGAAAATCATCAACAATTGCAACAAGAGATTCGTCAACACATCCAACAAAAACAACTCCAATCCGTGCCATCAGTTCAGTCATCGCAACCCATTCATAGAGTTGTTCCTAATTTATATTCAATTGAGTCACAAATGCAAAACAATAACTCAATTCCACATCAGATATCGTCCCAAATGGGCCCTCCATTGCAAATGACAATCAATGCTCACATCCAAAGCCAACCACTGCCACCCCCTCCCAAACCTCCCCGAACTTATCAATACCATCATATGCTCGACGGAACAATCACTTCACTGCCCAATACTTCCGACGGAAGACTCATAGTATCCGTTGCTCTGCCCAGACGTCAACCAAATGAGTTGACAGTCACTCAGCAAAACCATTACGAGCCCATTGGCCAGAGAGGGTGCAACATATCGGCCCCTAATCTCGTTTCGGACACACTTCTGGTTAACACTAATAATATGGAAAACTTTAATAGTTTTAATATAAACCAAAACAATGCCATAAAAGTGCTAAACGTGTCCAACAATAATATATACGAATCAGTATTACCTAAGTATAGGAGATCACAGCCATTAGAGGCGACCGGAGTGTCGACCGCATCCCAAAACCAAAGCATTCACTCCTATTATGATATCATGAAATTGCGAAACCCTGGCCTCAACTCTACCCTTCCCTTCTATGATAGTCTCTACGGTAGACACGGTTTTATGACTGTTTCCAATGTGCGGCACATCTCAGTGCCGGCCATTGCACAGATCCAGTGCCCGTATCCACAATTCAAACCTAATTATGAGGCCATTTATTCCAACACTAATTCAAATACTAATCAAAATAATGTTAACATTAATAAAACAAAAAGCGAGCCAAACATTAAATCCAATTCTGAAAGGATTGCAAACAATTTTGTGAATAATATTGAAAAACCAGAAAACATTAAGAATTTGAATAAAAAGGTTAAGAATAGCGACAAAAAAGATAAAAACATAAACAATAACTTAAACACTAAACCAAACATTAAAAAGGAATCCATCAAAAAGAGTTCAAACATTGGTTCAAACGCTCAAAATGTATCGCAAGAGTCGACTTCAGGAACTTTTTCCAAACTCTCCAATGCTTTCAGAGGTTTGCGAATCAAATCCTCGAAACCCAAATCAAATTCAAATACGACTAACAGTCCCGCCTCTAATAGTATGTCATCTATTTGTGTGTTATTTGCTAATTAAATACTCATTTGTATTATGTCTTGGTTTAGGTCCCATCGCCTCCCGTCCCCCTCATTCTCACCGCTTCTCACCTCCAACTCAATGGACACAAGTTTGACAAATATTTATATTATTCTAATTGAACTTATTTTTTATATTTAATTTTTATAATATATTTTATTTATTAATATAAACGAATTTAATATATAAAATATGAACAAAATTTTACACAAAAAAATGAATTTTTAAATAAACAAATAAAAATAAAGATTTAATTATAAATTAAATGAAATGACTATAAATTAATTTTAAAAATAATTCTTAAACGTTAAAAAATAGCGCAAATTATATATGAAAGCAATGAATGAAATTAAAAAAGAAAATAAAATCCATCGAAATGTTAGTAGAATTTAAGGCGACGGTTACGTCTGATGTCATTCCAGGAATGGGATGCCATTCCGTGGGCACCAAATGCGTTGAAAGCGATGGCCGGGTTGGCCGCGTAAGCCATGGCAGCGGCCGCCGGATTCAGTGCTGTAGGGATGAGATGCGGGTGCGATGGGAGCTGTGAGTGAGTCATCGGCGGTGGGATGGCTGGCCCTCTCATGACAGTGTTGCTCTGTTTGATGAACTGTGCGGACAGTAATGCCTTCCGTTCCTCTTTATTCTGAGCGAACGCCACATACAATGGTTTTGTGCCAATAATTCTGTTATTCATTTCGTTGATGGCTTTCTGGGCCTCTTCTGGCACTGAAAAGCATACGAAACCGAAGCCAACCGATCGACCCGTTCTCGAGTCACACATGACTTTCGCCGAACTTATTCTTCCGAAGGCAGAGAACTCGTCGGACAGACGCTTGTCATCCATCGACTCCTCCAGATTCTTGACGTATAGATTGATTCCTTTGTATCGATTGATACGCTTTTGTCGCAACTCTTCGAAGCGACGCTTCAACTCTTCCATGCGTTCCGACTTCTTCTGCGCCCGATTCACGTACAGGTGCTTCCCGTTTGACATCTCGTGCTTTCCGTTCAATTCTTGCACACAATTCTCAGCCGATTCTGAGCTCTCAAACGACACGAATCCAAAGCAGCGACTCTTTCCGGTCTTCTCGTCAGTCATCACTTTCGCGGACATTATTTTACCGAACTTTTCGAAGAGTTGGTGTAACTTCTGGTCGTCGTAATCATCGGTTAAGTGTTTGACATAAATATTAGTGAAGTTCTTATTCCTATCGGCAGACGACGAGTCCATTCTCTCGGACTTCGGGATAAATTTGCCGACAAATACTTTTTTACCGTTTAATAGCATTCCATTGACTTTGTCGATGGCATTATCGGCGGCCTCTTGAGTGGCGAAGTGGACAAAGCCGTAGCCTTTGCTGAGTCCGTGCGAGTCTTGAACCACTTTACACGACAGGATTTTGCCGAACGTCGAGAACGTGTCAAACATAACGCTAGTATCGATGGATTTGTCCACATTTTTGATGAACACATTACCGACGCCTGACTTCCTGAGTGATGGGTCGCGCTGTGACCACATTATCCGTAACGGCCGGTCCTTAAGGACATCAAAATTCATGGTTTCAATGGCTTTCTCGGCGTCAGAAACCTCTTGAAAGTTAACGTAAGCGTAACCCAGAGATCGACGGGTCAGCAAATCACGACACACTCGGATGGACAGCACCGGACCTATGGTCGAGAACTTCTCGAATAGCATGGCTTCGGTGACAGTGAAGGGCAGGTCGCCGACATATAGGGACGCCATCGAGTAGTTGGGTCCCGAAGTCATTGTTTCCCTTATTTCTAACGGCTTTTCACTTAAATCTACTAAATTATAGCACAAAATATATAATTAATTGGATTTAATAAATGGATTGTTCTTAAAAGCAATTTATAAAAAAGTTAAGACATTAGAAGATCTTAAATGTTTGAAATAATTGCTGTAAAATTTAATTTTATAAAATAAACAAACTTTGGACAATCAATGGACAGCTCTTGAGATGAAAATTAAGTGTTTGTCGAATGAGAAGTGAATTCAAAAACTTTTTCAACAAAACTTATTATTAGAATCACGCGATTAGTATTGAAATGGATATGAATTGACAGATCATAGCACATGTCACCAGTCCTTGTGACCCGACTTTCGCCAAACTTTCATTTAATGTCTTAAACCAACTTTTATTATTAATAATTCATTTTAATCTCAAACTATGGCAAACTATTATCTCATGCTATTTAGAATGGCTGGATCAAATATGTCATTTAGTCTGAATCGTATATACCGTATACTAGTATTTATTACCACAAAAAATTGCTGTCTGAATTTTTTAAATGATACAAAATATGTGCAAATTTTGTAAAATAAATGATTATAGATGTCAATTAATGTCTTCATATAATGTCTTCATATCTATCACCAGCACATCCGCCGGCATTTGATTTCAAGTTTTGCGCTTTAATTAACACAAAGTCATTGGTGTTAGTAATACAACGTTTCGGAACTTTTTAAAGCACTGCTTAGTATAGCAATACACAGTGAACTCGTGTAAGAAAGTACTGAACTGTCGGTCATTTGTGCTGTGATTTGCAGTTGCATTGCATTTGAGTGATCAGTGAATCAGCACTTATTTCAACACAACTCTCCCTACAGTCCACACAATTGTCTCCTCAACTGATCACCACTTCTTCACATCCATTGAATCCACTAATCAATTGTCACTTTAGTATCCGTTATGAAGGACAAGACGACGAAGAGTGAGACCATGACTGAGAAGGAGGCCAAAGACAAGGACAAGAAGGCGTCGGACAAGAAGAATGGTGTGGACGACAAAGACATGGATTTGTCCGAAGAGGACAAACAACTTCAGGAGGAACTGGAGCTATGCGTTCAGCGACTCAAAGAAGCCGACGCTTCCCTCTATAAGCCGGCGCTCGAGTCGCTGAGACAACACATCAAGAGTGCCACCACTTCGATGACATCGGTTCCAAAGCCCCTCAAGTTCTTGAGACCGCACTACCAGACACTGAAAGACCTCTACAGTCAGATGCCATCCGAAGACACGAAGAGATTTATGGCAGACATCGTCTCAATCCTGGCGATGACTATAAACCCGACGGAATCGGTGAACACCAGCGGAGAGGCTCTGAAGTACCGACTGATTGGGAGTCACGAGACGATCGGGTCGTGGGGTCACGAATACGTCCGACACCTGTCCGGAGAGATCGCCACTGAATGGCAGTCGGAGACGGCCACCGTTGACAGCAAACAACACCTCTTGGCGTTGGTTCAGGACATCATCCCCTATAATATGCTACACAACGCCGAGTCGGAGGCGACTGACCTGTTGATGGAAATCGAGCGCTTGGATCTATTGGAACAGTACATCGACAACGACGACCTGTGTCAGAAGGTGTGTCTGTATCTGACCAGTTGTGTGCCCTTCGTTCCCGACCCCGAGAACACCACTCTCATGAAGACAGCGCTCAATATATTCATTAAGTTTCATAAATACAGCGAAGCCTTGAGAATAGGAATGCATTTACAAGACTTGAAGCAAATCCTAAACATCTTCGAGCGCTGCAAAGATCCCGTTCTCCAGAAACAGTTGTCGTTTATGATCGGCAGACAACAGATATTCCTAATGGACGACATCGAGGATCAGGACCTCTTGGAGATCATATCAAACACTCAACTCAATACACATTTCCTGCAGTTGGGCCGAGAGCTGGACATTCTTGAGCCGAAAACGCCGGACGATATCTACAAAACCCATTTGGAAAACCCGACGCGACCGCCGTTCGGAAGTGCCGGTGCTGTGGACTCCGCGAGGGCTAATTTGGCGGCGAGTTTCGTGAATGGTTTGGTGAACGCGGCGTTCGGGAGGGACCGCATCCTCCTGTGCGATGACGGCAACAAATGGCTCTATAAGAACAAAGACCACGGAATGCTTAGCGCCACCGCTTCGTTGGGACTCATACTGCTGTGGGATGTGGACGGAGGTCTCGCACAGATCGACAAATACTTGTATTCAAACGACGACAACATCAAAGCCGGCGCTCTCTTGGCGTGCGGTGTAGTCAACTGCGGAGTCCGTAACGATTGCGACCCCGCGTTGGCTCTACTCGTGGACTACGTGACCAACGAGAAGATGCCGATGAGAATTGGATCCATTATCGGCTTAGGGTTGGCCTACGCGGGCTCTAATCGTAACGATGTTCTCTCTGTCCTCCTCCCGGTTCTGTCGGACAGTAAGTCGACGGTTGAGGTGATTGGAGTGACGGCGCTGTCATGTGGTCTCATAGCTGTTGGTTCGGGCAATCACGAGGTGACGGCCAGCATAATGCAAGTGTTCATCGAAAAGCCTGATCTGGACGTGAAGGACAACTTCGTGCGATTCCTACCCCTGGCGTTAGGGCTCTGCTATTTGGGGAAACAGGAGAGTTCGGAGGCCATTGAGGCGGCCCTCGAGATCATACAAAACGCATCCCTCAAAGCACTGTCCAAAACACTGGTGGATGTGTGCGCCTACGCGGCCACCGGTAATGTCCTCAAAATCCAAAGTCTGCTTCACATCTGCTCTGAAGCCAAGACTGAAAAGGAAGCCGAAGAACCCGCTGGAAGTGATAAGAATAAGAAGACGACTGCCGCGACACCAAAACCAGACGGTGCCGACTATTCGTGGCAACAATCTGTGGGAACCATTGGAATTGGATTGATAGCTATGGCTGAAGACATTAGTTGCGAGATGGCGTTCAGGACTTTTGGACATTTGTTACGTTATGGCGAACCAATGATCAAGAGAGCCGTTCCCCTCGCACTGGCCCTCACCTCCATTTCCAATCCGAAACTCAATATATTGGAGACACTGAGCAAATTCAGTCACGACTCGGATACAGACGTTGCCTGTAATGCCATCTTTGCGATGGGTTTGGTGGGCGCCGGCACTAACAACGCCCGGTTGGCCACAATGTTGAGACAATTGGCTCAATACCACGCAAAGGAGCAGAACTGCCTGTTTATGGTTCGCATCGCACAGGGATTGACTCACTTGGGAAAGGGAACTCTCACTCTCTCGCCATTCAATTCGGACCGACAGCTCCTAATGCCGACCGCATTGGCCGGTCTGTTGGCGACAGTCATCAGTCTGTTGGACGTGAAGTCAACTATTCTTAAGTCCCATTATTTACTCTACTATTTGGTGACCGCTATTCAGCCGCGAATGTTAATCACTTTGGACGAGGAGTTGACTCCATTGCCAGTTCCCGTGCGAGTGGGACAGGCCGTCGATGTGGTGGGACAGGCGGGTAAACCCAAGACCATTACCGGCTTCCAGACGCATACGACTCCTGTGTTACTGGCTTTGGGCGAAAGGGCAGAATTGGCGACTGAAGAGTACCTCCCATTGACTCCAGTGCTCGAGGGCTTCGTTATCTTAAGAAAGAATCCCGACTTCAATAAATAATAATCCGATTATATTTTATTTGTATATAAATCTGAACTTATTTGTCATTTTCTAATTTAATTAAGTTTTAACTCAACTTTTGTTTTCTAACCGAAAACTGTTTCAATAAAAATTGCCTTTAAATGAGTTTTGCATTCATTTGTCACATAACTGACAGACTATTGGAGAGTGAATACAACACACGAGAGACTGTCTGTCAGTGAATGCAATGTTTACATGTGTTTTGCACTCACAGTCGGCAGACACTCAAGTGATGGACAAACTTCAGGTGACAGGCGCTCACCCTTTCATACCAGTGCTCACCACACATCACACCAACACATCCAATGAATTATCATTCAATTTGTGTGTCATTTGATCCCAAGTCACGTCTTAATGGTTGTGAGCAAACGAGTGGCGATAAAAGTTCTAATCTTTGGATCGCTTTTGTATTTGACTTTCAATTCAATTATTTACAAACTTTTTGATCAATTCGTTGGAACCGTTTGGACACAACAGTCACAATCATCTCAACCACAATATAAGATAACTTTTATTTTACTTGAGTTTGAGTTCTTTGACAATGACTTGAGAGAGACGTTAGAATCGGTCTGCAGTTTGGGATCAATTCATACGATACTTGTTGTGTCCGAACGAGTCATATATCCGGCCATCGATTGGTCCGACAGTCCTGTTGTGGACAAGTGTCACATCAAATGGATTGTCACTGATTTCCAGATCAATCAGAGCTTAACTGAATCCAGAATTGAAAGTCATATCAACAGTGAATATGTGGTCATCATTCCGGACGCCATCAGAATCGGATCCAAACGATTGCTGTGGTCTTCAGTTCAATACTTGAATAAATTGAATGCAAACCACAGAACAGCTCTTATTCTTCCAATTGATTCCAACACATCCGCCAATAATTGCATTCAAATAGAGTTTGATATAAAGCGATGGACTTTGAGGTACAGACCATTGGATTCAATGAGTTCTTGCGATGCCTTCGAAGGCAACGATTACGCGGTTTTGATAACAAGAAGTGATTTCTTGCAACTGAACCGACCGTTTGTGCGGCCATTCATTGACTCGTTTTTCATTCAAAGCAAAATCAATGAAATAAAAGTCAAACTTTTCGGTAATAATGTTGTGATTAGAGGCAGACATCTGTTCGCAAACCAACGGAACGAATGGAAGCATCAGTTGTGGACACGAGAGAGAAGAAACACTTTGTTTCATACGATTGGCGTCAAGAAAATGATTGATTCCAATGGAACCGTCCATTGGTTTGGATGTCATAAACACTCGCAAAGATGTTTCCCGTCTGTTGTCAACGAAATGCCTGACTATCTGTTCGCCAACCGATGGACACCTGTTTGTTGTTTAGAAAATTTGGCCGAAACTGGTCGACACGTGTTTAAGATCTTGGATTCATATTCAGTGAGGTATTGGTTAGAGGGCGGGTCGTTGTTGGGCGCCGCCAGAGATGGGCACATCATTCCCTGGGATTATGACATCGATGTCGGCATTTATAGGGAAGACATCCAAAAGTGTCCATATTTTCCACAATCGTCTCCAATAGTGGATGAAAATGGATTCGTATGGGAAAAGGCTTCAGAGGGAGACTTCTTCAGAGTGCACTTCAGTCAAACCAATCGATTACATGTCGATGTCTTTCCCTTCTACTCGAGGAATGGGACGATGACTAAAGACACGTGGTTTGAGTCCCACATTCAGGACACAGAATTTCCCGAACATTATTTGCTTCCACTCCACAGAATCCCTTTCATTGGCGTCAATGTCTCGGTTCCCAACCATTGGAAGGAATTCCTTGAATATAAATTCGGCAAAAATGTGATCCAAAACCCAAAATACCCGAAACCAGAGCTCTTAGAGTTCCCGACAAATAGCAAAGAATACAAGTTTAATACTAATTCTTGATTTTATTTCATTATTAATACAATAATCTTTAAATAAATTTTTTAATGATTTTATATATACTGTAGAATCGATCCAAAAGTAATGAGAATAGTATCCAAACACACATTGCATTCACTAAAGTCATAGAATAGCACTTCATATTATATTTTGTAATCAACTCATGAGAACATATAAATTAAAAAACTTATGATTAGTCTGACAATCAACTCATGGGTTGCCATAAAATTAGAAAACAGTTATTAAGAGAAGTGTTAGTTTTGTTTAGTGCTGCGAATGCGTCCGATGTGGTGACTCGAATCCTTGCCCTCTTTGCCATTGCTTTTACTGTTGCGGTTGTGCTCCTCTTCGTCATCGCTGTTATGCGATGTCATACTAACGGCGCCCCGAGTGCTGGTCGCCTGCATCAGCTCCATGTCCGGACCCGTCCTGTTCTCATACAGCAATATATTGAGGGTCTCCTCATATATGCGCGCTTCGGGGAACTCCACCTGAAATTCAGTGCATTGGTTGTCATTGAAATGGGTTTGAGTGGCATTTCATACAAACCTTTGTGTGTTTCTTGTCGGTGGCGTACACTATGGAAGTACAGCAGACTTCGGCCACTTTCTTGCCGTGTCCTGAATGGAGGTCTCAGTTGTCAAACAGATTCACATGACATTCAATCAACAGATCATACCATAGAAACTCCAGCAACAGATCTCATTGCTTCCGATCACGTCTTTGATGAATAGCACGCGACCACTGAATCTGAGCGACAGTTTGTCGAAGAGCTCTAAGTTCTTGAGGAGATTATCATCTGAAGTGCTGGTATAGGAATACTTATTGTTGTGTCGATTAATCAATAGTTTGACGATTGGTTTAGTCGTTGTGTTGATGAGAACCGCCTCTTCTTTCGCTGAAGTGATTAACTAATCATTTGATAAGACATTTGTTACCACACTATAGAAGATAATCATTGTTTGCAGACATACCGGAACTCTACAAATGGGTTCAGTAGAGGTCGGTTCCCTCCAAAACGACAGCTGTTGGTCACACAAATCAATCAACTCTTGTATCAAATAGTATTTCGCTTCAGAAGACAGTTCTTGGAGTTCTCTCTGGGATTCGGGTATAGGTATGGATCCGTCTCTCAAGAAGTTGAGAATCGTTGCGAAGTGTTTGCCGCACCTGTCGATCAAAACCCAACCTATTTTGACAATCAATTGAACCACAATTAAGATCACTAATGACTACAATCATTGGTTACCTTCAGAGTCAGTGAGCACTTCCATTCTTCCGCTGAACATAGCCCTCAGCATTGAATCATTTTTGGTAAGCGTTCCGATGGTTGTGTAGTGCTTAAGACATCACCACATATGAGAACAATCGTATGTATGGTTCACTTATATCAACAAATCTATACTTACAAGACTTCCGCCGACATTAAGCTTACAGTACTCGTTGTTCTGACCACCGATGAAGACTCACATTAGTTATCAATTCATCAATTCGTGGCAATTGTCTCATTCGTGGCAATTGTCTCAACACTTACCCCTCCGGAGATGACAGTCTTGTGATCACTGATGCCGGACATCACCACACTCTTGACCATAGGTTTGGCTCCACTGACCAACAGTTTGATTGCACTTCTTTACGGACACTCCACACGAATACAAGACAATTGAAGTGCAGATGATGTCACACAATGTCTTCAGACAAACCACTCATTTGTAAACAAAAATGAGTCAAACATTGAGTGAAATGTAAACAAAATTTGAGTGCTTTTCACAAACACTGTAACCGATTGTGTGAGTCATGTGTTGACACTTTGAGCGCCAATTATCTCACATTTGATCCCAAGAAACACCAACTCTTCACTTGTCCTCACCTCTCGTCGTGTGTCCAACACTTGTGGTCATGTCTTCAAAGATAATCCACCAGTTGTTCGATGCCTTAGTCAACAAAATAGTCCAAAACAACAATCAAAGTATGAATTGTCTGAAAGTCATTCAATAGGAGTCCACTAATTGTCTGTAAATTTATTCCTCGAGTTTAGTGTCGGACGAAGTGATCGAGAGGTGAGACACTGAGTGCACCACTCGTTGATACAGAGACTCAGCCATACATTGATTGGTTTAGTTTGATCTCATTGTTTAACATAGATTTCATCGATAGCGTCGACTTGATATCGAGTAACAAAGTGAGCAAGCTCATCACCAACCACTCGACCACTTCCTGTGTCAGCTCCACTCCGGACTCAATACCCGATTCACTGGAATCGCTGGATCTCTGCCAAAGCCATAGGTATGCAATGCTATGCAATGCTATGAAACGATCCTTTTATGACACGAGTTGTTGTCTCCGAAGAGTTATATTCGAAGTCGAATCCAATGACAAGAAGTCGAAGACAACACCCAATCGTTACTTCTGTTTAATTGACGCCAATTATTGCAGTTGTGATGCATTCAGAAAAGGTGTCACACATTGGACTCAATGTATTCAATGTAGTAATGGATGAATTGAATTCAATTATAGGTGTAATGAATGACACGATTCTGTGGTGCAAACACTTACTCGCATCCAAACTGTCAAATGCCATGAAATCGTATAAAACAGTGGTTACGAGTCATGAAAAGATGGATAACGTGTGGACTAACCATATCCTCAACTAAGGCTCTATTGAAACAAACATTTGGACAATAATTTCATTTAATAATAATATTTTTGAACATATCTTTTATATCTTATAAATCTGAATAAATTGTTGAAATTTAATTAATTACACAATTAGTCGTTAATCACTAAAAAATAGATTTTAAAAACATTGATACGTTTGAAGTAAATCATAGAAAGTATTACATTTTATAAACTAAAGCCTAATTTAGTGTTAATATTAGGGCTTATATTACAAAATGATATAAACCGGAGAATCGTTGGCAACATATCATGAATTCATATCAAAACCACTGATTCAATGGCTTTCGAGGGAACAAAACTGTATTCAATTCGTTATTATTAAATAAAAATAAAATTCTCATAAAATTAATAAATAAAAATATAAAATATGTGAAAAATTTTACGCTAAATATTCCATCAAATTCTGAACGAAATGTACCGTAAAATATAAATCACTTGATATTATAAATACTGAATCATTATATCATTTACTTATATATTATTCGACTTAAGACTCAATTATTAAAAGCTATGATATATTATATTAAGCGAAATCAACACAAACACCAAACTATAAGAGACTTTTGTCATCGGGTTTGTTGTTCACATCCACATCCCCTTCACCCCCTTTATGCGGCTGTTTCTCCAGAGCGCTCGCCCTCTCGGCTAAGAAGCGGTCGAACTCTGATCCGGTCAGAGTTGGGTCCTCTTTGAGCCACTTTTCCATTTCATCGAAATCTTGTTCGCGTTGTGTCTGACATGAAGTTTTCAATTGAGTTCTCAAACATTCACTCAATTGCTAATCATTTCATACCTGGATTACAGTGTTTGGCATCTCTTTATTGGGCGGCGGGTTCACTGAATTTAAGTCATTAGTTGTGTTGTCTTTAGTGGAAGCGCCTCTTGACTGAGCGAACACATCAAAGTCCAAATCACCAGCAGTTGCCTCCACGGGTCGTGAGGCAGCGGCGTTGATACCACTCAACTGAATGTCCGCCAAACGTGTAGTGACGCCAACAGTCGACTCGTCTGTCGAATCAAAATCAATTAAAGTGGGTTCCGATGGGCGTGAGGGCAGTGGTGCGGCCACTGCTGTGCTCTGTGGTTGGGGTTGGGGTTGGGGTTTGTGTTTCTTTGCGTGTCTCTCGTATCTCAGGAAAAGGTTATTGAGTTCGTCGTTGACTCTCAACAGTTCATTAGTGACCTCTTCATTGGCCACGCGTTCAATGAGTTCAACAATTCTGGTTTGCATGGATTGACACGTTTTGTTCAAATCGGACAACAGTTGCCAGTCGTCGTTATGTTCGCTTCCGGGCGTCAATTCAGTCAACATTTCACTGAAGACTTTCATATTGGACTGAACGACATCGAGTTCGCTCCTCAGTTTGGCCAACTGTTCCGGACTCAACTGCATCGGTCCCGTCACCACACGTCTGGCGGCCGCCCCTGTCATGGGCTGCGGCTGAACACTGGCCGCCGCACCCACTGATGTATTGGTCGGCAACGGAACTGATGGCTCTGATGAATGAGATGTCGCCGATTTAGCTCTTTGCGGAGTATGTATGGGTGCCATAGCCTCCGAGTCTGTCGCCGGGAATTCAATGCCTTTACTTTTGAGTTCGTTATAGACCTGAACCACTCCTTGAAGCTCTGTCTGTCCTCTAAAAGCCTGCGCCCAACTCTGGATTAGACTCAATACCTGTTGTTGAGTCGCACAACACAAACAGTTTATAATTGAATATATAATATAACTTATACAGTAAACTGTACTATCAATTCAGTTATTTCATTTGTTTCATTAGTACCAGTCTTACATTCACTTCACATATAAAATATTTTTCAATTTATCATTAATAAAATAATCAATACTCTAATTACATATCAAATAATTAGGGAATCAAAAGAGAGTGAAATACCTTTTCCTGGACGACAGCCGGAGGATCATTCTTAGGGCCTATAATTTTGACTAATTCTTGGACAAAGTCTTTATTCGTAACCAATAAATGAAATCTTTTGCCACAATTCTTGACACACGCTTCCAATACCTGTAAATTGAAATTAAATGACAAATTTGAGCAAATAATAAGAAATATTTGTCACTTATTTAATGCCAACAAAACTAGTGGTAAACTATTTTTGAGAGTTAAATTGACGTACAGAACAGTACAGTAGACTGAGTCACAGTGTTTTGTGCACTAATTCTTCACAAATTCACTCAACTGTTCATTTGTAGTCTAATTGGTTTGTAATGGTTTGAAAACATTTCATTCAATATTTTGACCTCTTTTTCCTAAAACATTCAAATTCTGAAGTAAATCAGAATTTCAATATTATTCATTGAGAAATTGTGCTTAGAATAAGATTTCATGTACAGCAAATTTTAATCACTTCTGAAACTTTTATTATTAATTTTATAAGGAAATGAACAAGTCGTTAAGTCTATGTATTGTTATTACTGTATAGATTTTATCTGTAAGTAAAGTCAATCATTCATACGAAATGCTTTCCATTGACATCATAATTACAATATCGGTATACTGTACGGTATTACCGTATATTCCTATTCATCATTTATTATCACAAATAAGTACTGTATTGTATATGCAACAACTGTATAATAAATATTAATAGTTAATGTTTTATTTTACATTTGATATTATCATAATTTAAATATAAACTAGTCATAAGTATGTCATAAGTCAAGTATATGACATGTCATCGACAATACGTTGCTTTATTAATTTTAGATTATGGCCATAAAATTTTACATTGAGTTTACTAATATTTTACACTTACGTTATATGTTTAGTAGTCAAAAACTAGCCATCCCTCAGCTAAATTTACTGTTAAATCAGTTGTAATATATACTTATATAACCCATAAAAGTAAATGACATTAGATTTGATAACATTGTTGTCAATACATTAACTTAAATGACAATTTCCTGTCATTAACTGATTTACTGTTACTGTTCAGAGCTATCATTGAATTATAAGGCAATCAATTATATTGAATGTTATGAATGGATATGCTTTGAAATAGAAATAAAATTGTCTATTTGTGTAAATGTGTGTTCACTTAATTGCAATATTAATGACTGTCTCATGAATTAGTGGTGAAACATGTGATATACTGACTGTGAGAGTGAACATAACGACAGTGAAGTTTTTGCCAGAGTTTTGCTGCAATCGCTTCCGGATGGCCCGCACGGCATCTCTGGGACTGCAATCACATCCACATCAATCAGTGATCACCGCAATGACAGTCACATGACATGACATACCCCTCGTCGGTGTCGTTGATCACATCGCATATCTCCATATTGAGGGCCCAGTTCTCGGAGGCCAGGGATGGGTCGGTGGCCTGTTCTGCGGTCATCACACAATCAGCCGTTAAATCAATGGCTAATCACTTGTCAATCATTTGCAATATATTTACCGATTTTCTGTCCGACAGTTGTTGTGAACGGATTTCCACTGAATCTCTGCAACAGTTCTGCCATTATTTCAATCAATTGTTTGGATTTCACTTTCAATCAAACGATTCATTCAGTGATTGCTTTCAACGCTTATAATTAGCCGTCAATTGACACACAATTCAAAACAGATTCACAAATCAATTGCTGTTTGTTTTGATCACAAACCACACGAAGGGGTCATTCACTCATTGCATTGCGGACTACCATTCACTGCACCCCATCTCACACGCACTCACCATCGCCTGTCAATTCAATTGACCATGATCATTGATCATTGATCATTCTACTTATTCTCGTGTCTCATACAATCGCCACAATTAAGACAATATATGAATTGAATTAATTTATTGACAGAATATTCTGTGCAAACATTTAATAGTGTGAAGCAAAGCGTGAATCCCTCCCCTCCGGAGTGTCTGTTACTGTTGAATGACTCCGAAACCAATTTGACGTTAATTTATAATTTTGTATCAATTATTTGCACAGGAATTACATGCAATGCATGCAATGCTATCATAAGTTAGGTTAGATTTGCAGTGATTTTGCTGTTCTCTTCACATATTCTTATATTCACTGCATGTCTACAACACTATGTTTGGTGCTATTGACGATTCTTATGATAAACTAACTCATTATAACTTAATTAAAGGCTTCACTTGATGTGTCATATATAGGAAAATAAGTTAAGCATTATGATTACCGGTATCATCAGTTACCACAACTTATGATTAAATACTCATCAAAATCTAACATTTTTGTCACACAATACGAAATAACTGTTAATGAATTATAGGAAACGACAACAAATAAGCAGTCATACTACAGTCAATTGGATGCAACTTGTTGGAATATTTGATCAATCAGTTGATCTTAAAAATTCCAAAATTTGTAACAAAGCTTCAAACGTTCTATTGTTTGTATGTAAAATATAATTGGTTACTAATCCTGATCCTTTGTACTTATTAATTGGTGATGTCATCTAATATATACCGTATTATTAATACGGGAATATGGTTGAGGCAAGTAAATTCTTACAGAAATTTCTTATTATTTAGTGCATTAAAAATAATCTGATTGAATTATCTGAGGAATTTAGTATTGCGAAAATTTATTGTGAAAACAAATACAGAAAAGTATTTTTATTTAAAAATTGATAAATTCTACGCAAACAAGTGATTATGAATTACTGTTAAGGAATATACTGCAGAATCTTTGTAACCTTACACTCACTGTATTCCGTTATACAGTACAGTACTCTACAGCACTTATAGATTTGAATGGTTTCCTTATTTTCCCACCTTCTAAAAGCTCTCTCTCTCTCTCTCTCTCTCTCTCTCTCTCTGACCGACGAATAAAATGAATTCCTCGTGAATTGCATTCAGAATATTAAGTGAAGCCTTCAGTCAATTCTTTTCTGCAAATTCTGTTATTTTTCTCTCTCTTTTCGCTTCTCTCGCTTTCACTGTTCAGATGAATCCAAATGGTATTGTAATGCCTGTAATGCCTTCCCTTCGCTTTCCGATGCAATACCAGTGCTGAAGACTAACTGATCCGAAGAGTCCTTTATATTTAAGACATGAGTGTTACAAACGCTTCAGACTTTTGTCTATCCATAACACACACTATCAATAGACTTGTTCTCTATGGGTGTCTGTCTTACGAGAGACAACAAGCGTACGTATACTCACATCAATGGCTATACAAACAATCATATAATGAGGGTTACAGTGGATTGAGATTTAATTTTTTTCCTTCACTTTGTTTTGCTTTCGAGAAATTGTTTTATTTCTCTTTTACTGTTGTCTTGCTTTCCATCCAATGTTTGTGCAGACAATCACTCATTGAATTGTTTTTTGACTACAAGTTTTTGGATAGTCGTTGCTTTTTATATGCCCAGAGTTTCTCTCTGTTAGTGACTTAAGAGATAAAATTACATTTAAATTTATTCAACCCTTTTGTACATCGCGTCTATGAGTTGTTATATAATAAGGTCTCGTGTGTTGTAAATTATTTATCTGCCGCACAAACCCTTTAATATATGGCATATAATAATGTAATAACTCTGTTTTGAATGCCAGGCAATGAATATACTGTATGTATACACGTATACTGTATATATACACGTAGATATTCATATGAATACCTTTTTACGATTATTTTTCGCTTCATTCGTACCGCTAGTATTTCAATGAGCTTTTCGCTTAATATTATTATAATATTTCTTATTATTATTTTCGTAATTTTATTTTCTTAATTCATTATCGCAGATAAGGTTATTAGCTCTGAGAGGGGAAGGACTGTACTCTTTAAACACTTGTGTTGGGATTGAGAGGTTAAGGATGGCTTAAATGCGAGAGTAATCATAATTATTATCATTAGTTATCATTGCTTTTAAAATATAATATTCTTGTTTTGTAAGTGGAGAATAGTTTTTTTTATTACATGTCTTTTTTGTGTTCATTTATTCACATTAAAAATTATCAGCAAATAAACCAAAACATGAGTTTTTCGCTCATTTTAATGGACACACGGTGTTTGAGCGCCTGATGTATGCAAATATGAAAAGTTTTTTTTTATTTCTTTTGTATTAAAATTTTGTGAATGGATGTCAAACAATGGCAAGAATTTGTGGCGAAAAAATGAGCGCAAATAATGTGAATGTTTTAACTCTATTTACATAATATTTTTTAGTTTTTTTTGCAAAACAGTTGTATTCCCGAAATGGTTTAACTTATATTTTTTGCCTATTTTTACACACTTTTAAGATCCGTTTCATAAGCTATGTGTGTGTCTTAACACACAATTCCAAGAATTGTTACGAACAGTCTCTCTCTCTCTCTCTCTTTCTTTCTCTCTCTTTCTCTCTCTCTCTCTCTCTCTCAGCAGTTGTGAAAAATCTTGAGTCCATTAGTTGGTGTATCTCTGCGGTTGGTATTACACTGTTTTTTATGATGAATTCACTTAAATAGGGGAAGGACTGTACTCTTTAAACACTTGTGTTGGGATTGAGAGGTTAAGGATGGCTTAAATGCGAGAGTAATCATAATTATTATCATTAGTTATCATTGCTTTTAAAATATAATATTCTTGTTTTTTATTACATGTCTTTTTTGTGTTAATTTATTCACATTTAAAATTATCAGCAAATAAACCAAAACATGAGTTTTTCGCTCATTTTAATGGACACACGGTGTTTGAGCGCCTGATGTATGCAAATATGAAAAGTTTTTTTTATTTCTTTTGTATTAAAATTTTCTGAATGGATGTCAAACAATGGCAAGAATTTGTGGCGAAAAAATGAGCGCAAATAATGTGAATGTTTTAACTCTATTTACATAATATTTTTTAGTTTTTTTTCCAAAACAGTTGTGTTCCCGAAATGGTTTAACTTATATTTTTTGCCTACTTTTACACACTTTTAAGATCCGTTTCATAAGCTATGTGTGTGTCTTAACACACAATTCCAAGAATTGTTACGAACAGTCTCTCTCTCTCTCTCTCTCTCTCTTTCTTTCTTTCTTTCTCTCTCTCTCTCTCTCTCTCAGCAGTTGTGAAAAATCTTGAGTCCATTAGTTGGTGTATCTCTGCGGTTGGTATTACACTGTTTTTTATGATGAATTCACTTAAATTTAACACACAATTCCAAGAATTGTTACGAACAGTCTCTCTCTCTCTCTCTCTTTCTTTCTCTCTCTCTCTCTCTCTCTCTCTCTCTCAGCAGTTGTGAAAAATCTTGAGTCCATTAGTTGGTGTATCTCTGCGGTTGGTATTACACTGTTTTTTATGATGAATTCACTTAAAAAACTTTTCCATTTAAGAACCCATTTATTCCCATATATTTTGTGCCATGAATTTGACTCAAACATGGAGTGTAAACCTCATACCATTCAAATATTGGCAACTTTACTGTAAAATATTCTCATAATTCATAGCTCTCTTCAAATTTTACACTAAATAATAATAAATTACAATTGAAATATATTTCCCCTAAGAATACGATTGCAAATATGTTGTATTAATGTATTTATATCATTAGGGCTGAGGTACTTGTGCTAACTAGAAGTGCCTGTTTATTGATTATGTCTGACTCTGTTATGAGATCTTTGACACCAACGCTTATATCATATCAATGGCAATGTTTTGATACGATCTGTGTATTGATTTTTAAATACATATCTCACTAATACTTCAACATATGTATAGCAATATCTACGAGCAATATATACATTATTTTTCATTACATTTTGATTAACACCGAATAGTTGGAGGACTTTATTTGCAATAACTATAAATAAAATGTTTGCAATAAATAATTATTTGGTTTTTGATTTAGTCTATCAATTGTCTATTTGTTAAGCAATTTCGTAGCGAGTGTTGAACTATTGCTCCCGAAATGCGAAGACAATTGAAAATATTTGATATAAAAATAGCTCATATTTTTTTGATTAACTGTTGTTTTCTTGTAATTAGTTTTCAATCAATGTCTTCATAACTGCATTTTCATTGCTCTTTGTCTTTGAAGTGTAAATAACATACTTTTTGTTGAAATGACGAGAGAGAGAGAGAGAGAGAGAAAAATAACAGAATTTGCAGAAAAGAATTGACTGAAGGCTTCACTTAATATTTAAAATATTCCATAATATTACTAAAGATTTAAGTAAAAGTTAATTATTATACGAGAGAGAGAGAGAGACAGAGGGAGAGAGAGAGAGAGAGAGAGAGAGAGAGATAACGAAACTAATAAAAAACATAAATAGGAGTGAAAACTAAACCAAGAGATCAAAAAACAAAAGCAAATAAATATGAAGCGAATAAATAAAACCAAATTAAAAAAGTTCAACGACTGCTAACTTGTATTTAGTTTAATCATTTGAGTTCACAATCGTATTATACGAGTAGAGAAAAAGTTTTAATCAATTATTGAATGAGAGATTAAGAGCTCATGAAATGAATGAAATGTTTGAGAAATGTAATGAAAATGAATGAAAAGAGAGAATACATACAAATAACACACAGAAAAGAAAATTTTCAATTAAACTGATTGCTAACAAAAAATGGGAGTAATTTAATTGCGATAATAAAAACAAATACTAAGCAAGCCAAAAAAGTTAAAGTAAAACCAATTTTCTGAACTAATTTCCACAATTAGTTGATCTCTCTCTCTCT